CTCACCCTCAGCTTCAGAGGGATCTAAGAGAGAGCACCAGACATCCTCCTTCAAAATCCCAATACATGCCTAAATCTCCTGTCACCCAAGTCTCTTCAAAGTCCCTCTTATTATAGTTAGTAAAGCTCTTGCCTTTATTTCTGGGCTTTTCCCAAAGTACCACTTACTACTAGGAACTCTCTTTTCTCCCAGAGTGCCCATATGTGGCTTCTCCATCATGACAGCCTCAGGGCAGTGAATCCTCTTACATGGCAGCTCAGAGTTCTGGGACCGAGTGTTTCAAGAGGCTCAAGTGGAAGCCACAGGTTTTCTTAGGACCTAGACTTGGACTTTCCAGAGCATCACTGCTGCAGCCTCTACTGGCTAAGCAAGTCATTCAGACCAACGAAGGATAAAGGTGGAGGGAATCAGACTTTACTTCTTGTTGGAAAGAATTGCAAAGAATTTGTTGCCATTATTTTTATTCTATTTAAAATATTTTATTATGAAGAGAAGTTTTGTCTCTTCTAAATTATAATATCCAAAACTAACAGGATACATTACAAATTTGACATTTGATAAATTATTTTTAATTACAAAAAGGATTTTTCTGATTTTAGCAGATATATTGAAAATAAATAAGTATATACATAAAATATATACTCACTCAATAAAATATACAAACTTTTGAAAAGTACCATTTAACACTTTCATATAACATGCTCAGCACATTTTTTAAATTTTAAGCTAGAGAGATTATGATGTTCTTGAGAACAGTGTATATTTCATTTTTATATCCCTAGCAACTGTCTCAGAGCTTGATACACGGTATCCTCTCAATAAATGTTTGTTCAATTGAATTGAATTAGTCCTGGATTTTGAGGTTGACGTAGCTAATTTATTGACTTCTCTGAATGTGTTGTGAAGGAGAAGAAAATATAGCAAGAAAATCCAGCCTCATCAAGAGTGAATCCAATAGTAGCAACTGGTATGTATACCAGTTAATATGGTTCCAGGAAACACAGGTGATGGTGTTAGTAAATCTTTCTTCATGCAGTAGAATGTTCAAGAGATCGTCCAATTAGCATAAGTTCATGTCTAAATTACTGCAAGAACTGGATAGCAAATATTTTGCATTACTTCTGATAAGGTTTGTTTATTTTGTAGGAAAGGGGAGTAAATAAAAGAATTCTATGAGGCCTATTTGTCTTTAGAGAAAAAAGAAGCTAATAAAGAGTCAATTGTAAGAGTTGACATAATTTTTTTTTTCCAATTCACAGCTTTTAATATGGCAAAGTATTTTAAAACATCCTTTTAATCTTGGATGGAATTTGCTTCTTAAAGCTATGTTCTTGTGTTTCTTTGTTAATTTCATATTTAAAAAATTCTTGGCCCATAAAATTGTTTTATAAGCCGAGCCACCATTGTTCATTGTGTAATTTGAGAATCTCTGGGACTATCCTCTTGCCATCTCACTGATTCCAGAGTTTTGATTAGAAGAATGGGCATATTTTGTAATTTGTTTTTATCCTGAGGCAATTTTACGAGATTTCAAATTATAGTACTTCCTAAATTTAATTATATTTTTTCTGCATGTATTAGAAAAAAAAAATCACCTCTTAACTTCCAAAAGTCCTATCTACTTGTTATACTTGTCTGTGTAGTTAGAATAATTTATTTAAAAAATTTTTAAAGCAATCATTAGCTTTTATATCATATCTTTCCATTTTATTAATATTAGTTGACGATACTTGGTTAAAGCCAATTTAAGGAATTGAAGTACAAATTATTGCTATAGGTTTCCATGACATACTTTCTAAAGACTTTTCTGTTCCCGGTGTGCAGTCTTGAAAACTGAGGCATAAGATGCTGAAATAATTCACCAAGGTCATCTATGACAATAGCTGACCTGGAGAGATTATTACCATCCCGTGATTCATTCTATCTCTTTCTAGTTCTGATATCTACTTCTAAATATCTTTTTCAACATGAATAAATTGTCAGGTTCTTATATTTAATACATACACTGTAGACTTCCCATTGGAGACTCCCAATTTTACCGGTAATTTGTTTTAATTGCTAGGTACTTTCATATTCCTTGTATTTATTTGTAGTTCCTTCTTATTGTTACATTATTCTTTTGCATATATACACACAAATTTCACATATATGTGGATTTTTCCTAATTTCCCAACTCTTGTTCTCCCACTCCCACTTTCTAAAAACTTACAAGTAACTTAGTTTTCTGCTGTTTCTTTCCTTCCATTGGGCAACCATTTTATTTCACTGTTTTTGAAGTGATGCAGTAAGAAAAAAATGGCTGCCTTTTGTTTACTTCCTTGTACATTAGCATGGTTGACATGATCAAATACATTAACTAGGATGTACATATCTTAAGAACCCAGAAGTATACTATAAGCCAGAAACACTTTGTTTTCCCTTTTCTTTTAATGCCCCAAGGTTTTGCAGCTTTAGCATAGCTCTAATGCTGTGCTAAAAATGAACATGAACATTTGGGGACAAATGTATTAAAATGGTGGTATCTAAAACGTATCTGAATATTTCTTTCAATGTTAAGAAAAACCCATCAAAAGGTATTTATTTAAGTCATAAACATTGTAAATCAATGCTAACCCTGCAAATTATATTATAAAGAAAGATTAACTCATTGTATTTAAAAGCTAAGCTACTTAACCATACTTGCCTATTCTGGTTTTAAATTGTTTTTAAAACTTTCCATTGACACACAAAAAATTTTGAATTATTATGTTTTTTGCCCCAAAAGAATTTCTTAATAATGGAAGGCGTAAGGAAATATATATACATCTATATGTATATTCACTTTTTAATTACTGAATTATTTATAAGTACCATTAAATTACTATATATCTAACTATTCAGAAAATTTATTTTCTCATCTGTATTTTTGGTGCTTCTGACTTTTCCTTCTGTGTGTGCTCTTTGTTGCACTTTGCATGTATTTGTCATAAGATTTTCACTGAGACTTAAAAGTAACAAGCTTTCAAACATCATTTTAATTTAGTCATTAAAGAGATAAGAAATCGATTTTTTAAAATAAATTCCAATAACTAAATAGTTCTTTATTTGGAAATCCACAGTCCATTTTCAGTTTTGGAGAAATAATTTTATATATTTAAAAATATTTTTAGAAAGACAATCTGACTACACACACATACACACACATATTTGTATATATATATTAATGTAACATTTGTGCAGTGGGAAATTCCTGTAAATGTTGAATAGTTTTCCCTGAAACTACTTGTTAACATTGAAATCAGATAAGGTAAATCATGTTTTATTGAGGTAAGTGGTCTAAAATAAGGTACTACAATTTAAAAAATTAATAAAAACCATATGTCCTTTAGAACTTAAATTGAAATCTGCATTGTTCCTTTAAGTCTGCTGTTCTAGGAATGTGTCATCCTTTGAAAAGATAAATTAATCATCTACTTCGTTTATATACATCAATAAAAAAGATTCACCTTCTCATCTACTTTATCAAAAGTAATTAGGATATCTATTTTTATTCATATATAGTATCTTTTAGTGATTGAGATTTTAATTGAGGATATTTTGAAGGAAACAGCAATTATCTTTTTACAAAAAACAAAACACCAAGAAAAAGAAATGCCAGCAATCTAAAGGTTAAAACATATTGCCAAATCATTCAGTAGCGCAAGGCTCTTTAATAACATTCGTACAAAAGTACTTTCAGAAAATATGAGATAAGAAATGGCTTTTTGCAAGTCCTCCTTCCTTAAATTATTATTCAGCCTCTTATTAAACTAAAATCTAGTTAACTTCTTTTGGAGCTTGCTCAAACATTTTCTATAATAATAAAAAAAAAAATCTTGTGAAGGGATTTCCATAAGTTGTGCTGCATTAGTGACTTAGAGCAGCTTCCTTATCTGTTATTCCTTCCTCCTAGTAGACCTCAGATGATAAAAATATCCATAGACACAGTGAAGTCAGTGGCACGCCTGGCTCTCTCAGACAAAACTCCATGTGATCACATATAGGCAGCCTCAGTGAGGCTGATGCCGTGCAGCAAGCAGTAGGTAATGAGTCTTTGTGCAGAGTGAAGCTCTTGTTGCTGAACAATAAAGCATATGGTACAAGCAATAAAACACAGGGCTGGGAAATTTAAGAAGATTCCTCTGAACCAGGAAGAACTGTGTCTTCGGTGATGCTGACACGTATTATAAAATGATCATTTATTTTGGATCCTAATGAATAAAGAGTGCAAGGACTAAGACTACAGCTATTTGAACAGGTTGGTGATTTTATAAATTACTCCAACACTTCCTTGTGTTTGACTGGATTTAAATTAGAATGGGCTGGTGTGTGTTTTCCCTTAAACAAAAACTTTGCAAGATATTTGTAGTGTATAATATTAAGGATGCACTTGAATTGACCCAATGCGATTAAATTGTCGAAGTAGTCAGATGTGACAGAGAAATGTTGATATCATTATATTAAACTGAAAAGTTATTTATTCTATTTTAAAAATGTATGGGTAAGAAACAAATTCATCCAATAATTTTTAATTTCTTATGTATGCAGAAATAATATAAAAGAGAATACTACTAACAAATAGCTCACATAAAAAGCTTCAAAATTATTTTTCCAGTGTTAAAACAATCTGTATTGCAATAGTTTACATGTCTTATAAATTAGATAATATATCATTCAAAATTTGTTGATGTGTTTTAGTATACTGCAAAAGGAAGGTTTGGAATATTCATTTATTTGAATTAAAAAATTTAAAAACAAGGAAATTTTGAAATGTTAGCAACACTATTAGAACAATGTATTTTATACTTTAGTAATACATATCTATATTTATTTGTTGTGTGCTTTTAATTTTTCATGTTATATTTCTTTTGACAAAGGAAAAGATTATTGCACAAAACCTTTTATTTTATAAATATTATTCATTGATACTTAGAGAAAAACAAATTTGCTTAATTTTTAAGAAGAAGAGATTATTTAATGATGCATATTTTTGTTGGTTTACCATTTAGAAAGATTATGCATCTTTATGTATATTTATAAAATGTGTACACACATGACCTTTTCTATGTAGAAAATAACCATTTCTTGCATTTATGAGCCATAGAGAAGTTTCTGTTTCAAATAGAGAGATTGTTGTGTGTAGCAAAATAAAGGAAGAAATAACTGGAAAATAATAGCACAACACTGAATCTGAATATCTTTGCCAAAGCCAGACGAGCGTTGCTGCTATATGAATCTTTAGATTTAAATACATAGTTTAACTTTGCTCTACATTTTTACTGCTGTATTGTTTTAAAGGTATCCTGGGACCTAAATTCTTTACAATTAATTTTTGGACACCACTTAGGATGATAGTCTCTAAGGCACTTGGGCACATTTAACATTTTACAGAATTACTATAGTGACCTCATGTATTTGTGTAGTGACTAATATAAATTTATGCCTGTAAGATGCTGTTTAAACCACAGCAGCAAAAAGAAATAGCCCATGTGCCTGATTATACGTGCGATATGTATTTGAATTTTTAAAAAAGCTGTGTTTCAAAAACAAGGGAAGTTAATGAAAATTTAAAATTGGCCTTCCACACGTATTTAAATGAAGCATTTGACTATTTGGGTTTCCTTGGTTACCATAGTCGCTGTTGACAGCTTCTTTTGGTGGGGAGGGAGTAAGCAGTGAGAATAGGACTCTAAAACAAAGCGTTAAAATCGTTTATCCATTAATAGACACGGGGGAATGTGATGCTGACAGCCCAGTAAAACCCGTGCCCACTCCCCATCGCGTATTCCTGCTCTCCCGTGATTCAGGTAGCCTGGCAGAACCGCAGTTCCACAATTCCTTACCCAGCATTCCGTTTCAGCTGCTGGAGGACTGCCTGAGCCTTATGCAAATGAGACCAGCTCGGAGGCTTTGACTGCAGAAGCGAGAGGAGGGGGGCAGAAGGGAGTTCAAAGGTCACAGGGCTGGTGGAAAACTGGATCAGTTGCCTGAAAAAAAATGTACTGGGCTTCTCTGTAGCAGTGTTTTGCAGCAGTTAAATGAAGTGTGCTTTATTTCTGAGAGTGAAGATTTTACAGCGTGTGTGCCGTAGTCGTTTATAGTGCACGCAGGTATGGTGACATTTCATGATGCGCCTGATTTTTTTTTCTATTAAAGACACTGATGAGCATTGGCTATTTTAATTCATCGTGGCAATTGGCAGGGTGTTCCTGGTTTTCGGGATTCCCTTAACTAGTTTATGTTTTAATTTTCTTCTTCGTATTTCTCTACTTGAAACATGGGTGTTTTATTCCAGTAGAATAATTTCATGTGAGAAAAAACTGGGTTTAGGCTTCTAAATAATTCCATTTCGGGGGTAAGTTCTTTATTGAAGAGAGATCTCTGAGTTGAAACATCTAGATAAATATCGAGGCTTACAACTTTTAGAGGATTTTCACATTTTTTAAAGAAATGTATTTAAAATAAGATCTGAGTTCCTAGCCTAAGATTCTTGTGATGTATCTGGTATTAAATAATGGAGTTCTTTTGTTCATATCTCACACAATCTCATAAGGACAATTTTAATAAGTATATTTTCATTCCATTTTAAGGGTTTTGGTTTTCAGAGTTTTTGTTCTATATTTTATCGCCAAACATCTTCTCAGAGCAATAATTTCTTATATTGGGGCCCGATCCTTTAAACCCTTCTTTGATTTTTATAATTGTTATAAATTGTCTTTGGGACTTTTTGGATAATGCTATTTGAACTTAATGTGTTCAACTTCCTATGACTTTTCCTTTCAGTTAAGTCTACATTGTAAAGTGATCCTTATAAATGTCACAGACAGGACAAAAGTCTTCTTTTCATGCACGAAATATCACACTTTTGTAAAATGTATGATTACATCATAGGAAAGTCTGTCCTGCACCAAACAAATGTGTACTCACTTTTATTGTTCATTTTTTTATTTCTAAAACATATTTTCAAACAAACTTAATTAAAACAGTACAATCAAACTGTTTACTCCTATCATTAAAGCATTTAAGTATATCAATTCAGCAGTTACAATGTTGATTAAAAAATGTTATTTTCATTTGCATCAACTGTGCATCTGTCTGTATTACAGGTTGTATGTGCCTGAAAATATGTTGGAAAAGATGAAGAGGCAAAAATAGCTTTTAGCCATGAAATGACTGCTTTATGTTTTTATATTTGCATAAGATATTTAAAAATGAATTTTATGAAGCTTACATACAAAGATCGAGTACATATTTAAACTTAATTACTTTCTTTGCCCTGAAAAGAGGGAGTTAATTTTATTATAATGATTAAGATGAGGTATTTTGGCAACAATATGTTTTACTGTAAAATAGACGGGGCCTTGAGGAGAAACCAAAACAGGAGGATAGCTATTTAAAACAGTGAAGGACAGTTATTTCCAGTATTTATGAAATTCACTTAGTGGTTATTCAGGGCCAGATTCTCACCCTTTATTACTCTATGGGGACAGTATGACATTTATCCAGGATCCTGAGATTAATTTAGGAAAAGGAATTCATGTTTTGTATGAGCTTTTAAAATATTCAAAAACTGACATTTTCTTCTAAAGTGTTTCTCTTTTGAAACTTACAATAATGACTTCAGGTAAAAGGAGTATTGTTTAAATTAGCTGTTTTCTTTTTATATTGGTCAGAATATGCTGTCCTCCGGTCCAAACAATATTTATAGGCTTTGCTTTTATATATTTATATATAATATTATATATATATAATTGTTTTATATATATGTTTAAAACAATAAATATATATGCACACACGTATAAAAATATATGTATGTTATACATATTATTGCATATATTATGTATATACACACACACACACACATATATATATACACACATATAGTGTTTCAGGCAGCCAAAGAAAATATTTTTAGTGGTACATCATATTTAATCCAACAATTTTTTTCTTAAAATGTTTAATTTTATATTTAATTCAGTAGCGCCTGTAGTTTGTGTCTACTAATCCCTGTGAGTGTTATAGGCAGAGAGGGAGAAAAGAACCAAGTTTAACATTCATTTAGGTAGTCCAGTACTTTTAACTTTGTAAATGCAACTTCTATCACAGAGCATGTTCTGAATATGGAAATAAAAACAGTGCGGGCAAAGAAGGAAAGCCCATGAAGATTCTTGGAGAAAACGTGATAATAGACAAATGTGAAATAAAGAGAATTGTTGTGATTCTGTGAACCACGAGAGAGCTATATATGTCCTGCAGCTAATTTATGGCTTTGAATATCCTGGATAATTTATGTCTCTATGCAGATTCACTCAAAACTTTGAAGTCTTTTGCAATAGCTCGAGCCATGCTACTTCCATACAAATCTCAGCAGCATATACACAGTAAGTCTGTAGTCTGAATATCTAAACGTATCTAGAAAAAAAAATGCATTTGTGTAAATACAATTCAAATAAAATTTGAGAAGTAAAAGAATAAATAGAGTAATCTAAAAACAAATCTTTGGGGATATGCACTTAGTCTACTTAAAGAGATAGTGTTATATCAGGCTTCAAAGGAATCTTTGAGGATTTTTCAAAAATGAATTTCCTGCTCTTTGATTACCAGTCTGTCTTTGTCATCACTTGAAACTAGAGACCATATTGTAGGCTTGGAAAAGATTTCAGGGCAAACATGTTCTACTCAGTCTAGCAGTGTGGAACATAGTCTAAAATCTACAAATAACTGTTGTCATCTCAAGATCACATGTGTAGGTTTTAAGTTTTATTATTGTTATATTTGTTCTCCTGAACTTCTGGAGCCTATGAAATAGAAAAAAAAAAAAAAAAAAGCAACTAAATTACTGAAACATGTAGAAGGAAAATGCTCAAAATAATTGAGTATTCAAAACAATCACATTTCTCTATTTTAATATAATATTTTAAAATAAACAATCAAAACAATTGTCTTTTTATTGCCTATTCTAGAATTTACATAAAATTCCATCAATTTTATTAAAAATTATAAGAACAATAAAATTATAAAATGATTTTAAAGATCTTATTAGACCTACAGGAATGCTATAGTAGTAATACCTTGTCTAGTAGAGTTGGAAAATAATCTGTATGATATAAACTGATTTTCCAAATAGCTAAAGTTTATGACTATAAAGGCCAGTTTTTAAAAATGCTAATAGCTGTCATGAAATAAAAATATAGTACACATCATACTGCCTTGTAGAGCAAGGTAAAAGTCAGTTTAGGTTTTTTTTCATGGCATAAGAATTATTAGTCCAACCATTATATTCACTTCCTGTAAAAGACAAAACTATTCCCAACTATTCTCCAATACCAAATAGCTTCTTACTATTATATACTTTTTATAAATAATTTTATATGCTTTTTATAATTTTATTGTCTCTTTTTAAATGTTAATATATATTATTTTTAACATAGTTAATAATTGTCCTTTTAGAGCAATTCAAAAATCGATTTTGAACTTTGCTTTACATTCAATTCTAAATTTCTTTGACTTTCCTGGACAGAGAAAGAGAGAAACCTTCCTCCATACTTCTACTACATACTGAACTCCTGACAGATACATACATATAGTATAGGAACATAAAAAATAAACAAAATTTATTTTTAGTTTGTCTTGTGTTCAGAATGTTGAAAATCATTTGAATTCCAAATAAACGAAAAATTTCTCTTGTTGGTACAATGAGAATCTATAATATTGAACTATCAACAGAAATTTGAACTTTGTATCAAATAGGAAAATGAGGAATATCTAACAGATATACAAATAAAAACAAAGAGACCAATTTTTTGGTTACATTTGACTAATCATTGGTTCCATATACTTCTTGCCAATTTGGGGACTTGTGGTCCATCTCATTTTCAAATCCTGGCATTAAATTCACCACCTTTCACCACAGTGCTAGCACCACAGTGCTAGAATTTTTGGTTGTTCAGTTCTTTGTCTCCATGCAAGCTTGTGAATCCACATACTCATTTAGAAATGCATTTAGTCACATGTGTTCATGCTTATGTCTTACACGCTCCCCAATCATAAATAAGGAAAGTAAGACAACTGAACCATCAACCACCATTTCTTTGAAATCTCACTAATATAACACAAAGCAGCTAATGCCATTTTAGTAGGTGTTCTCATATACAGTGAAGAACTTGATCTAAAGGAGTGTTAGTTCCATGAACCTAGTATCAAAAGACTGTAAGAATGAGATCTAGTCCAGCATATTTGGAGAATAACTTCTCATTCTGGTCCTCTTTTGCACACTAGCATATTAAAAGGCCTGAAGATTCTTACTTTAACAAACCTGGGTAACTTTGTTTAATATAGTAAAACCTTATAAATTTAGGTCAATTTATGAACAACGAAAAAAAACAGAAAAATGTTGTATATTGTTTTTTTGATAGGAAAAGCTTTTATTGTGTTGTATATTATGTGTGATTTCAAGCTATATCATGGAATGTGAAGAGGCTGAATAAGGGAATTGTTAAGAACTTAAGTTCGGCCGGGCGCGGTGGCTCAAGCCTGTAATCCCAGCACTTTGGGAGGCTGAGATGGGTGGATCACGAGGTCAGGAGATCGAGACCATCCTGGCTAACACGGTGAAACCCCATCTCTACTAAAAATACAAAAAAATTAGCCGGGCGTGGTGGCAGGCGCCTGTAGTCCCAGCTACTCGGGAGGCTGAGGCAGGAGAATGGCGTGAACCCAGGAGGCGGAGCTGGCAGTGAGCCGAGATAGTGCCACTGCACTCCAGCCTGGGTGACAGAGCAAGACTCCACCTCAAAAAAAAAAAAAAAAAAAAAAGAACTTAAGTTCAAGTCCCAACCCCGGAGTTGTTTACATAATGTTCTCTGACATTTGCAAGCCATGTGGCCTTGACATGGTACTTGAAACCTGTAAGCCTCGTCTTCATTGGCAAAGTGGTAATATTAGTCTCTATATCAAGGGATTTTTATGAAAACGGAATGACATGATACATACCTGGCACATAATAGGAATATTATAGATGATAGCTAATATTAACATTTTTCAGCCCACACAAGTTGATTCCCTGGTGCTGATGAGGCAAGTTCAGCTTAAACTTATAGTTACAGAAAAT